TTCATACATATAATAATAATAAAGTATACTAATTATATTCAAATGTTTTTAGCAATGAGTTGCAGACAACGCTATCTGAACGCAATAAGTACATTGCGAAATGATAAAATTCATGATAAAACAGTTTTTGGTGCAATTTAAAACAGTAGAGTTATTAAAATAGTTTAAGAATATTAATATATAATTTGCAACTTATTAAGATCATTAAACAAAGAATGAAACTCTTTATTTTTCATTTAACTTTATTTTTTGCAAAAAGATTCGTGATCTAGTAATAAGCATCATCGAAAATTATAAAAAAATTTTAGAAATGTAAAATTTAAAATATTTTGTAAATTAAAAAATTAAAAAATATAAAATTTTTAATTTTTAAAAATGAAAAATTATTTAAATTTAGTTTGTTTTTGCTGAATTTAACAAAATATTTAGAACGCGATTTCCACGTAGTCCACGCTTGGAGGGTTAATTTCGCAACAGTTAAAAATGACACTATACGACAAGTAAACGTTTCTATTTGCTAACGCAAACGTAGAGGCACATGATTCAGAAATACAGTCAGCAGTGCTCGTAAAGTACGAAGTATGTGAGTTCGTAAAAGAAAGACCTATACAAGTCCATAAAATAAAAGTGGCAGCAATTGCAAAGTACAGAAATATGTGTTCGACTCGGTCAGTATGAAAAATCCCGGTTGATCCGGAGAGGTCCAGCACACGATCCCCATCTCAAAGGACCAAAGTCTGTGATTTATATATATATAGTTACATTTATTACATTCAGGACTTATTTTGCGAATTCAAGGCCACATTACGGCCACCATTTTGTATGCCATTGGCGTGGCACAGTGACCGGTTTCTATACAAAAAGCGAAAACAAGTCGGTTTTAAAAAATATCTCCATAATGTATAATTTATTCATTAGTAGTCAATTATACATGTGGCTTATTATTTACTACAATCTTTTTTACCATTTGTTTATTTTGGACACGGCTACATGGCTTTAAAGTAGCCCATCTCCAAATCATCGTCAATTTATATCACCGTTTATAATTATTTTGTGTTTTGAAAATAAATAATTTTTACAGGATTTTATGTACTTTGTATGTACATAAATTATGTCATAGGACACTTTTTTATCGTTCATATTTTCTGAGTCACGTTCAATTGAATTTGTTAAATTTTTATTTCATTTTTTAATTATAAGTTCGGTGGAGTTCAGTGTTCGCTTTGATCGTATCTTGATGAGCGATGCCTTACGTTAGTAACAAAATAAAAATGACAAGTATACATAAGTGATATCTATGGGCTACCGAGTTACGCGAGATGTTTTGAATAAGTCGAGTAAAATATCAATGTTTCAACTGTTCGCACTCTATCGAAACTAACGAGAATAATTATAAATTTTTTTTTATTATATGCAGACTTTGCTCACATCCGATCTGTTCATGTCGATTATGAGGAAAAGAACGATCAAGAAATCGAAACTATTTCTCAAAGAAACAATCGAACTACTAGTTTCGGAACAATGTTCGCAACATGAAAATGGAGAGGATGTTCAATTGAATTGAATTGAAAACGAAAATTTGTATTTTTAAAAAACTTTTTTGCAAACAATTAAAACACTCCATTTTGTTTTCATTATTCGATCCCAACAAAGACCCGAATATATGTATTAATAATATAAAATGAGAAAATATAAGGCTTAAATATATCAATTTAGTTGTATGTTTTTCTCCGCTTTTTGAATGGAAACTGACCACTGTGCGTCGTATTTATCGATTATAAACGCGACACTAAACCAGAGTTTGGCAAAATTGTTGTATTCGGATGACGAATAAGGGTTAAGGATTAACGAATAAAATTTTATTCGACATTATCGAGTAAATAATCCAGATAACAATTTATTCGAATACAATTTTATTCGAATAAGAATTCGAACATGGCTAGCTATATGTATATATAGCTTGCAATATTGTATACATATTGAAATTTTAAGGAACAAAGACTGCATCATCAAAATAACAGTCTTGTACACCATTAGCAATTTTTAAAGAAACATAAATCTTTATTCCATTGTATATTTATTCGATAGTATCGGTAACGGTACTATAAAAAAGAAATTTGTTTATTATAAAAAAAAAGCTAGTTGATAAAATAGTTTGCACATAATTCGAATCATCGTATGAAATGCTATCAAAGTGCATGTTTTCAAAGTTTCATTTGGAAAATTACTGGCGGTTCATTTTTTGAATGACTTCCCTTAATCTGAATATTTACCATAAAAATAATCATGTTTCAAATTGGATGGCCATAATATTGAGCAGAGGTTCACGTACCTTCAGGTGTCGATCCAAGATTGCTGTTGGGTACCGGCGGCGATCGTAACACGTGGGAGGGCCGTTATCACGTTAAGGAGCATCGGCGTGCTGGAAAAGCGACCTTCCAGGGTCAAGTTTACAACTTCCTGGAGCGACCCACCGGCTGGAAGTGCTTCCTCTATCACTTCTCTGTGTGAGTACCTTGAAAGTTGTATTTTTCTTCGCGCACCGAGACGTGTTCCTCATGCGTTTGATGTGCTGTACCTGTACTCTTACCCGTTTCAGAGATGTTTCATACTCGGATTGAGTATGAACGAGAGATGATTAACGCTCCCAGGGGTCACACAGACTCAAGTCTGGATTTCATTACTTAGTATTTAAATATACAGGATGAGTTACATATTAGTCCTCACGATTTTTCAGCCCCTTCCGATGGTCTGACGAAAAAATGTTTCCTGTCAAAGTTAATTAGTATTTAACCGATAATAAAGTTTAATTGTTTAAATTTAAAAATAAATTGATTTTCGATAAAGAAGCAAGATCACCGTTACTGTTTTAAATGTATAATCTTAAAGTAAAAAGTAACTTCATAGTATAATTATAATTATAATATATTATAATATATTATAATATATATTCATTATAATATAATTTTAACTTCAACGACTATATGATGACCTTCGGATGACATTGAAGGAAAAATTGGCATGAATTGATTGTTATAATATTTGAAATAATTCGGCGATACGTAACATCAAAGCCTTGTATGTAAATATAAACAAATGAACATAAATAACACATTAAACAAAAGAAGAAATTTATATAAAACCAAATATTGTGGCAATTGATTCATGGCAATTTTTCTTTCAATATCATTTGAAGGTTATGTAGCAAGTCGTTGAATTCGTCTCGACGGCGCCTACAATACTATAATGTTAAAATTAGCTAGTTTGCTTTAAAAAATATAACTGTGAACTTTTTTTATTGAGAAATAAATTTGTTTTTTAATTTAAACAATTGCAATTTCTTGTTGGTTAAATACTAATTAACTTTGATAGGAAACATTTTTTTACGGCATACGTAAACATAAACATTGCATGGGTCAGCATGGACCCTGAGTCCGCCAGGCGAGGGCTAAGAATTGAGGTGTAAATCTAGGCTTTAGACAATTGAAATGATATTTTCGCTAAAATGATATACATATTTCCAGTTTCTAAGCCAGACATATAGGTGTACATTTTTTAGGTTAGGTTATATTATATAGGTTATATTATATGTTCTAAAACCCCATTAGATAAATGGTGCATAATTCAATTTCAGAAAACTAAAACATCTATGTACATGATTAATATTTAACGTTTTATGTATTTAATAATAACCTAACTTATAGTGGCGATTGCATAATTACATACGAAGGAAATATGTCTTTTGAAATGGTTCACTGATTTCTACGAAACCATTTAAAAATATTTGATAGACGTTTTCGGAGTCAGTAAAGTATTTTTCTCTTTTCCAATTGTTGTATTTAAATATCTAATCTATGAAAAAATTTCTATTGCATTGAATTCTTAACCTACTCAAACCTCCATGTCTGTATAAATCATATTCTTTGTTTAAGATTATCTCATAAACCAAAAGAAATCGCCTATTATATTCGTAAGAAAAAGTTGTTCCAAACAAATGATCTTGCAAACATATTCCAAGGTCTTCTTAACAGCATATTCATCAAAAAAGTAATTTTTCAACATTTACGAACTTTGAACAACTTCGACCATTCAGTTAATTCTGTCTCGCCCCGCACAACAACGGAATAGTGTTCGCAGTGAACCTTCGCGAAACAACTCGGCCGGTTTTCTATTTGTAGGCTGTACTTCCGTAGTTTGTCGCGCAATTGTGCGCTCGCTTTAAAAGTGTATTACTGTCGGATCGATGGAGTTTACAATAAAAGTTACTTTACACGTTCCGTTCGCTTCTGAATGAGAAATCATTTCTTTGTCTGTCTGCGTCGCTCGAGTCGAGAAGTTTCCAGCTGGCAATCTTCTCTGATAAAACGAAGCGATCGAGCGTTCCGCCTCGAATCCGGTCCGATAAAACGTTAATCACTGGCGGGACGACGATTCGAGCTCGCCATTCAACGCAGAGATTCCTTTTATCGATTAGCATTCGAGTATTTATAACGCGGAACGTCGATTTGCACCGAAGTGGTCCTTAGACGTAGGGGTTGAAATTTTTTTTGGAGAATTTCTCTTGGAACTTCCACAACGAAATTGTGGAATTTGGTGAGAAAATGATGAGGAAGTTGTGCCGCATTTCCATTAAAGTTTAAACATTTTAATCCTCGGTGGACGGGCTTCGCAGAAGTCGAAGCCGGGCCATTTGTGACCCATGGCAAAATTACGCATAAATAAATCCCAAAGTGTAATTTGTTTCCTCGAGTGACCCACGTTCGTCTTGCGAGGGGGTTGATGATTTCATTTCGAAATTTCTGTTAGAAATATTGTTGAACGTTTTCGACTAAAAGACAATGTCTTGTATGAATAATGATTATTTGTTATTCTGAAAAATATACATAAAATCTTGAATCTTGATTTACCATTAAAATAATGTGTGATGCAGAATGTGTAGATGGACACTTGGAGGCCATACAAAGGTCGTTAACGTGTTTTTCAATTAGAAACGTATATTTTTTCATTGCAGTGCATAACGTACCTTGATATTTTTTGCAAAAAAGTGTAAATCGAAGTGGTAGTATGTTGTGGTTAGCAACAATTTCTTAACATTTGTATCTCCTCTTCCTATTAAAATCGTAATTCACCATTACATTGTCACATACGAAGATATTTAATTCATTTATATCGGATTACAGTAAATTATCTCCAATTGTCCCACAGCTAGTAATTTGGAAAGAGAAAGTATGATTATTCGACCCTCGCGGCTCGTTTTTATAGTCACCGATTGTCAACAATTGTAAAAACGAGCCACGAGGCGCGAATAATCGTATCTCCACTTCCCAAATTGTCGATTTTTGTTTGCAAGCATTGGGACAATTGGGGAGAATTTACTGTACATACGGTCTGTTATAAATGTTTTGACATACATTGATAGATCATAATTTTTGCTGATTCACGTTCAGTAGACACTGCAGATGATACCAATCATGATACCAAGCCTAGATTTAGCTGCAGCAGTTTACAGTTACTTCTGTGGGACAATGTTTTGTTACAAATATTTTTCCTCCCACTTCTGTTAAAATTGCCTTCGAAATAAACACATCAAGATACATACAGTTAAACATTTAATCAATAACTATTAAATAACACAAATAAATATTTACACGAACAAATATTTATCAAAATAAATTATGCGATTTGAAATTATGAATTATCTGCATTGTAAAAATGACAATACCGAATTTATTTTAATTATGCGCGATATTTGTAGAAATAGATGTCTGAAGAAAGAAATTCGTTAAATCAATTACAATGAGTTCATTTCTGTGTGATTTTAGTAACATAAAAAAATCTAAAACCGGTCGATTAATTATAAATATACTTGCTGATCTTTGTAGAAAATAAAAATTATCTAAGTTGCTTGCAAGATACATAAGATAAATTCTTTTAATGTTTTCAGAGGTTTAGATTCGATTTATTAATTTTTGTCATAAATCAATGGAATCCGGAATCTAGTACAAAGTATATTTACTTTATTATATATTTTTATATACTATGCAGGGTGGTCCGCCTAAATATCTCCTCTAATATTAATGTTACAAAAAATGTTTTATATTGAATTTTGCCGTTATTAAGAAATAAATATGATGCAGAAAGATTTCATTTTTTCAAGGTCATTTCCTCGGAATTTTTGAGGTCATCAATATTAATTCGCATACAAGTGCATATTTCTTTATTGCATCGTGTAGTTGACATCAAAATACATTCAGACATGTATAATGTCTTGACCTTGAAATGACCTTTGACTACGAACATGAAAATGAAACGTTAAATTATTGTCTCTCTGTATCCCAAGATTTACACGAACAATCCCAATGCAATAGCATTTAATACCACGTGATGCAATAAAGGATATGCACTTGTATGCAAATCAACATCGACGATCTTGAAAATTCCGACACAAATGTTCTTGGAAAGAAACTACTCTTTATACTAGTCAAATTGTATACAAAACATTTTTTGTGACATTTTTGGGGGAGATATTTAGGTGAACCATCCTGTACAATAAGTTACAAAGTATATATTTTGATAAATTCTGGACCAAAAGGTAGAACAATTGATATGGTTTTATATTATTGGTTTATATTGTGGTTTTATATTATTTATATGGTTTTTATTTTATTATAGCACTGGGATATTCGAAATATTGAAAGTATTTCGAGTATGAATATCCAAAATCGATGGAATTCAGAGGAAACGAACGATTCGAGTGAATAGAAATAATTTTCTCACGAATTTTGACATTATTAACCGTGAATTCTTATCCATTAATATCTACAGAGATACTATAATTGCAATGGCCAAAACAATAAAAAATGGAAAAGTATAATTGTTAAACTTTTGCTTGATACGATTTCGGTTACTAATTAATAATTACAAATTACTAGGATTTGTTCGGTTACTAATTAACCATTATAAACGACGAAAACGGTTTTTTATTGATTACGAACAACCATTATCGACGATCAGAATTTTACTTCATCGTTTTCGTCAATTACAATTGTTATTTGTTGTATCTCGTCATCGATATTTGTTGTTTATAACAAGAAAAAATTTTCGTCATTTATAATGGTAATTGGTAACCAAACAAATTAGAGTCATTTATAATCAATAATTAATAACCTCAACACGTAAAAGTTCATGTTTTCAAATTGTTGCATTCTTTTATATTTTTCCATAAAATTTAACGACGGGTACTCTTTATGCGAATAAAAATCAACTTCCTATCTATGTTTACATTTTCTCCATAAAATTTCTAGCAATAGAATGAATCTTAATGTGGTTGAATTAGTGTTAAAAATCTCCAAGTGGTTTAAAGATGTCAGATGGTCTATAATCCACTATCATAAGCAGCTTCGTTTGCATGCTGTCTTGCAAGCGATATATTAAACGCGGGTTAACGAGGTGTTGGCTCTGTTGCGTCTAGCCTCTGCTGTCTTTGGAGACCAGCGACCTATCAATCTTTA